TAGATCTGACCTTTCCCCCTCCTGGATGAGTATAAAGCCTCTTTGTACTTACAGCACAGGATAAAGCTGAAAGGTGTTTTTTTTTCTTTTAAACTTATGTGGTTCTATTAAAATTTTACATATAAACAGAAACAAGAATCAAGTTTGGTTGGCCATGTGAAATTCTTTTCTTCTGCTTCTATGTGCAAAAGGAAGATTTATCTATATTGTTCACGAGAACTGATAAAGAATGGATAGAACACTTCCTTTGGAATTAGGAAGACCTATTTGGCTTCAAGGGCAGCTAAGTGGCAAGTGCAGGGCCTGGAGTCAGGAAGACTCATCTTCCTGAGTTCAAATCTGGCCTCAGACACTTACTAGCTGTGTGACCCTGGGCAAGTCACTTAACTCTGTTTGCCTCAGTTTCCTCATCTGTAAAATGAGCTGGGGAAGGAAATGACAAACCACTCCAGTATCTTTGCCAAGAAAACCCCAAATGGTCTCACAAACTGTCAGACATAACTGGCTGTGTAATCCTAACAAGTGAATTCACCTCTCATTAGTCCCAGGTAACTCTGTCAGACCATTAATTAAATAGTGCATGCCAATCTTCATTAATAGAGGGAGTTTCTTACCAAAAGCATCATATATTGATGAAACAAGAGTCTGGTAAGAAAAATTATAATTGAATTTTTTCTTTTATTATCATCATTAAATTTAATTTAATGGTCTTCATTAGAATGTAGTAGTAAGGTTATATCAGCTTTATAGAACATGTGGTAAATAGTAAGGTTTGATAATTTTTTTCTAGTATCTGTTTATTCTTCCTCAGGAGATAAAGTAGTTTTCTTAAAAGGTGATATTCTTATACAAATAGATTAATAGAACTTTTCCCCAAACATATTCTAATATCTACTTAGAGGCAATGTACCTTGTAACAAATTGAGTCTGTTTTTGTTGAATTCCCAGGAAGTATCCCCTTTGAAGGTAATGACTTCCTACCAGCATTTGATATAATCAGAAATTCCTGATTCTGCCACTGGGCTATAGTCAGTATAAATGACCACTCTGTCAGTTTTTGTTTCTCCAATTCTTCTCCAATTCTTCCATTCAACGTCTAGACCTTAGGTTGGGAGCTAGAAGGAATCTCTGAGGCTAGCCTTCTCATTTTGCTGTTGTTCAGTCATTCAGTAGTATCTGACTCTTTGTGACCCTGTGGACTTACTGTCCATGGGGTTTTCTTGACAAAGATACTGGAATGATTTGTCATTTCCTTCTCCAGTCGATTAAAGCAAACCAAAGTTAAATGATTTGTCCAGGGTCACACAGCTAGTAAGTGACTGAGGCTTCATTTGAACTTACTTCTTCCTGACTCTAGGCCCTGTGCTCAGGCCCATTGAGGCATCTAGCTGTCTCTTCTTCTCCTTTTTTTTATACTTGTGATTGTTCAGTCATATTTCAGTTATGTCTAAATTTTTGTGAACTCATTTGGGGTCTTCTTGGTGGAGATACTAGAGTAGTTTCCCATTTTCTTCTTTAGTTCATTTTACAGATGAGGAAACTGAGGCAAACAGGGTTAAGTGACTTGCCCAAGGTCACGTAGCTATTAAGTGTCTGAGACCAGATTTGAACTCAGGAAGATGAGTCTTCCTGACTACAGGCCCAGCACTCTATCCTGTTCCTTTGCCACCTAGCTGTTCATTTTACAGAAAAGGAAATTTAGATCCAGAGATGTTAAATTACACATGTACCTTCACACAAGTAAAAAGACAACAAAGGAATTTTCAAAGACAGGCCCTCTGACTCCAGTCAGTGCTTTTCTACCCTAATACTATCTGCTTCTTCTAACAAAAGCAGCACTCTTAACTCAATTAACGTGGTAGTATTCTCTAATCTTTCCATTAGCTTGGTGAGCTAGGCTAAACGCCAGCATGGACCTCCTGCCCTCTCTATACACATAAAAAGAACCAACAGGAAGCTTTAACCTCTTATGCCTGAGGGTATGCCTTAGCCCACTTCTGCCTAAATCAATAACTAGCAGAGACTTCTGACAGTCTCAGATAATATAAATAATGTCACTCAGGTTCCAAAGAAATCTAATGGGGGAGGAGAACTATTAGGATGCTTTATAGATTCCTGGGAAAATGGTTACATTCCCTCCAGGAAGTTACGGCAGCATCATGAATCCAGAACAGGGAGGGGCATCAGAGGTTAACCAATCCAATGTCCTCATCTGACAGATGAGGAAACTCTGAGAAGGGAAATTATATGACTTTAGAATGTCACACAGATAATATGTATCAGAAGCAGGATCTGAACCCAGGTCTCCAGATTCAGTGCTCTCAAGGATATGGCTGTCTCTACCCTTTCCATGTGTTGGAGGATGTCAGTTTTTATGTTCACCATATTTTAACTTGCAGATGTGATAAGGACTCCTCTGAAACTAGAGAAAAAAGAGACAATGTCAAAAAATGTGGTAAGTTCAGAGGTTAACAAGAAAAGGAAGAGCCCATATAGGGTAGAAAGAAGGGGAAAATGTCATAGAATACATTTTTTTTTCAGTTTTCCAACTATCTTTAAGTAAGGAGAAAGGATCTAAGCCTTATATATTTTTATGCCTTCTATCAGTATGATCACATTTAAGGTTAATGCTGTAAAAAAAAAAGATAGGTCTGAGTTGTTTGTGCTAATGAAGTCAGAGGACTTGGGTTCAAATCGTTAAGTGTCACACTTACTTTATCTGTGACCATAAATATATTATGCAACTCTCTCAATTTCAGTTTCATCATATGTTCAATAAGGGGATTAAACTAGGTAACTTTCAAGATGCATTCTAGTTCTAAAACTATGATTCCAAGGTCCCATGAAGGCTGAAGTCCCTTCCAGATATAAATCATGTACTTTTGTAAGACCTATAGTAGGTCTGATACTGAATTACTAGAGATGTAGTCAGAGGCATATTGTTACATGTTTAACAACCAAGTCTCCTCCAAACTGAAAAACACCCTTATGTTTAAACTGCACTGTTAATATTTCTTTTTCCTCCATCACTATCTTAGGTGTAGTAGAAAATAACAAAATAAATTTTACTTTTATTTGTAGCATTTGAGGATTTCCAAGGTGTAAATGCTTACACTGAAAATTTAGCAATCAGGAGGCAAACTCCAGTATATCCCTATATAGACTCAGATGATAACCATATCTCTTAACAAAGAACTCAAGGTATTTTTTTTCTTAGGAGGAGAAAAAAAAACAAAACAAAAAGCAAAAAACAAAACGTCACCACCCAAAGACAGAGCAAATTTTGCACCACCAAAGTGTTTGTGAGGGAGAAGAAGTGGTTAAGGAGAATTCCCTGATTGAGCCCTTTGGGCAAAAGAGAACTTCAGAAGGAATCACAATGCTACTGTTATCAGAGTACAGGAAGGTAATATAAATGGCAGCTGTGGGCAACCCCTAAAACTATTTTCAGGGAAACATCACATAATCTGAAATGTTTAGAACTCTAAGTGACTCTGAGGATTTACATTACCCTTTGGAGCATGGGAGTTTTAATGGATGTGTTGAGAAAAAAATAATTACTTATCTGTGGTTTTTTGTTTTGTTTTTATTTTAATATAGTTTTCATATCTAAATTCTAGGCTTAAAATAAGGAGTTTGTCTCAAAACACAAAGAATACCAGGCCTGTTTCTTGATTTTTATGTGAACCAAGATCAGTGAAGAAAATCCCTAAATTCTACCAGGACCCTTCTTTTCACTCAAATGTCTGATAGAAAGGTTACAGACATGTATTTTATATAGAACGTCAATTTGTTGATAGGTAATAACATATAATATATGTTAACATATATAATCTATAATGTTATATGTAATGGCATATAAGCCCCCCCTTTTTTTTTAACATTCTTATACTGATTACCAGGGGAACACAAAGATTTGAGGATTAACTCTTGCAGCTGAGCAGTTTTACCCATAATTCTCAAATGCTTGTGATGTCGAATTTTGCAGTTGGGAAAATCTAGGATGGCATGAGCTGAGATCATTTGTCCAGGTGCTGACCCTGGCCATTACATAGCTCCAACCTTGGACAGCCTAAGCTGGGACTCCATCTTCTCCACCATTCTAGCCATGCTTCTGCCTCTCTCACCTATGTGACCAGACAAGATGGATAGATCCTAATGATCCTGTCTCTGTGTTCTCAGCTAATACCAAATTAAACTTATTAGAAACTCTGGGGAAAGAAATGTTTGGCTTCCAAAGTTACTTAGTGCATTTCACTTTCTCATAGTAATGACTATGAGAATGTCATGGTTATGAGGGGTGGTGATACATTCAAATAAATATATAAAGAGAGTGAGATAGAGAATACTTATATTTAAAATATTTGTCTATTTGTCTCATGTTATTTATAAAGTTTCAACAGCAAGAACTGTGTCTACCCTATGATACAAAAAAAACAAAACAAAACAAAATCCCCAAAACCTCAAATGTTAGTAACGTCATCAGTAGCTTTTTGGTCCATAAATATCAGCTCTTAAAGAATAGCTCTCATTCAGCAAGAGGTAAACAATGGTTGATGAACATAAGCAAAATGAAACCAATGTTCACAATAAACAACTCAAAGATTTAACTTTAAAAACTAGCTGTAGGGGCAAGCAAGATGGCACAGTGGATAGAGCACCGGCCCTGAAGTCAGGAGAACCTCAGTTCAAATCCAGCCTCAGACTAAACACTTGACACTTCCTAGCTGTGTGACCCTGGGCAAGTCACTTAACCCCAAGTACCTAAAAAACAAAAAACAAAACAAAAACTAACCATATACTTCATCTGACAGTACACTAATTTAGATCTAGTAGTGCAGAAAAAAAATTAAGAAAAACATCCTTGCAGAATGTAGGTTTGGCCAAGACATTAGGCAAATGCCACATCTTTTCTGAACATAAAGAAATTGCTTCAGTAATGCATCAAACACCTGTTTATACAAATGTTCCTTCATTAAGAAAAATAAAAGTGAGCTTACCACTTCTTCATGTCTGCATTTTCTCACATTAATTCCATTAATCTGCAATGGAAAAAAAAATTGTCTTGCAGTACACCTTGTAAAGTGAGTTTGCATTTTTCTTTTAAGGGTAAACTGTGCCAAAAAAAAAATATATATATATATATATATACATACATATATACACATATATATACACATATATATACATATATACACATATATACATATATATGTATAAATATATATATATGTATATATATGTGTATATATATGTGTATATATATGTATGTATACGTATACATATATATGTGTGTATATGTGTGTGTGTGTATATATGTATGTATACGTATACATACATATATACACATATATATACACATATATACACATATATACACATATATACATATATATGTATAAATATATATATGTGTATATATGTATATATGTGTATATATATATATATGTATGTATACGTATACATATATATGTGTGTATATGTGTGTGTGTATATATGTATGTATACGTATACATACATATATATATACACATATATATACATATATACACATATATATTTATACATATATATGTATATATGTGTATATATGTATATATATGTGTATATATGTGTATATATGTATGTATACGTATACATATATATGTGTGTATATGTGTGTGTGTATATATATATACATATATATACATATATATATACATATATATATATATATATATATATATATGTACATACTATGTTTACATACCTGAAGAATGGCATCCCCTATAAAGAGCAGTCCAGAAAGTTCCGCTACAAAATAGAGAAAAACAAATTATTCCTGCATTTTTGCTTGAGTGAATTAAAATTTTGACAATAGGATCATATGTACAGTGCTAGAAAACAAAACAAATCAAAATTCAGAGTCCATGTGATCCAATTCTCTTATTTTATAAATGAAGAAACTGAGGGACAGAGATATGGTGGGACTTGCAAGAGGTCACACAGATAGTAAGTGGCAATACCAGGTTTCAAATCTAAGTCCTGTGACTTCAAATCCACTATTCTTTTCACAGCATCACCACAGATGCCAAATATAGTGGAGCCAAAATAAAATAATCTTCATGAAATGGAACTAAAGTTTTCTAACTAAAATATGCATTTAGAAAATGTTTTCCCAAATATGAAATATGAATATAGACATTTATGTGTATTCATATGTGTCCTATTTCAGCTCAACAGAGTATTACAATCCCCTCCACAAAGTCATTAAAATAGAAAATGATACTTTGACAACTCCCTTTGGATGGAGAAATCAAGTTCTCTGCCTCCTTTGTAATTCTTAAGCGATCTTATCTATGCAGATTTCTGACACTCAGGTTTCTTAGACCATTTAATTTCATTGATTTTCAATTTAAGGCAGCAAAATAGTTTCCAAAGTATGTCTAAGTATATAATATCTAAACTTTGTTTTGAAAAATAATCATTAATTAGGTTTAAGCGTTAAGAAGACTAATCTAAGCTTTATGTATTCAAAATCAGCTCCCAAAATGGATTGGGCTTATTCACGTAGTACAGATTTCTCCATCATTGAAATTCTCCAAGCGAAGCCTGGATGACCATATTTTTGAAGACATTCACATCCAGGTATTAGTCAGATTAGATGACCTCTGTGGTACCTTTTGATGTTGAGATTCTGCAAATAACATTCATGTTTGTTTTTTGAATGAGACAAGCTACAGGAAAGCTCTTGGAAATCATTAAGTGCTCCATTATAGTAACTGAAATAGGTGAAAGTTTTATGTAGTGGGAAAAGCCTTGAACTCAAAAGTACTCAAAAGCCATGGCCTTGAGTCTTGCCTCTGCCACTTTGTAGCTGTGTACTTATTTATTAACTAGGGAAAAAAAATCACTTCCCCAATAAGGATCTCAGCTTCCTCATCTATGATATAGGATCTTTGGACAAATTAATTTCTAAAGTCCCTTCTACATCTAACATTAAATGAGCTCTAAAGAGGTGTTTTTCATTGGCTTTTTGTGAAACTATTTTCTCGCCATCAAACTTTTGTGTTGTGTCCTTATATTTCACCTCTTTTCCTCCAAATAAGTTCATTTAAAAATGTAGAAAAAAATAAGATTTGAAAATTAAGAAAAAAAGAAAAGAAAAGAAAAAGAAAACAGGGGCAGCTAGGTGGTGCAGTGGATGAAGCACTGGCCCTGAATTCAAATCTGGCCTCAGACACCTAACTAGTTATGTGACCCTAGGCAAGACCGCAGTTGGGAAGAAAGAAAGAAAGAAAGAAAGAAAGAAAGAAAGAAGAAAGAAAGAAAGAAGAAAGAAAGAAAGAAAGAAAGAAAGAAAGAAAGAAAGAAAGAAAGAAGAAAGAAAGAAAGAAAGAAAGAAAGAAAGAAAAAGAAAGAAAGGAAGGAAGAAAGAAAGAAAGAAAGAAAGAAAGAAAGAAAGAAAGAAAGAAAGAAAGAGAAAGAAAGAAAAAGAGAGAGAAAGAAAGAAAAATCTCCATTGTCAAAGAAGAGACAAAGGCAAGACACAGTGTAGGATTTCTGTATACTCACATGATAATGGGATACCAGGAAACAGAAATAAAAACAAAACAAAAACAAAGTGCAAATACAATGGAAAGAGGACTAGCCCTGGAGTCAGGGCATGTAAATTCAAATCCTGTCTCATGATTACTGCCTCTATGACACTGGAGAAATCACTTAATCTTTCTGCACCCAAGTTTTTTTTATCTGTGAAATGAGTGTCTAGACTAGAGACTGAATGGCCTCTGAAGCCTCCTCCAGTTTTAGATCACAGTGATGTATTAGATAGAGTTTTGCAAATGGAGTTAGGAAGTACTGAGTTTGAATCCTTCCTAAAACTTTTGCTAGCTGTAAAAGAAACCCAGACAAATCACTTAAGCTCTTTCAGCCTCAGTTTCCCCATCTATAGAATATGGATGATAATAACACTAATGAGATAGTGAGGATCAAATGAGATAATATATGCAAAGTGCTTTGAAAAACTTAAATGCCATATATATTGAACCTATTATTACAAAAATATAATTTTCTCCCCAAGTGGTTTGCTGGTTGGCATTTCTTTCTTTACACCATGTCCAGCAGGTCCTTATTTAAATGAATATGTCATCTCAGAAGAATAAAAACCACATGCTATGTACATAGCTCTAGTGAATTTGCAAAAGAAGGGAACAGAGAAGGTCTCTAATATAGGGTGATGCTGGGGAGGGAAAAAATAATTGGTGTTTCCTTGGGTTGACAGAAAAATATGAAAAAGGTACTTGACACTCTGATTATGAAGGAGGAAGCTTGTTCAAGTGGAAAATGGCTTTGTTAAAAACGGGGGAAAAGCAAAGATCTAAGTTAAGTCCAATGATTTGGGGGAATGGAAAAAGAGCTTATATTTATGGCATTATCTATAAATTTTATAACCTCTATTGTTAAAAGAAGATGTGCATATTTAAGTTTGATTCTCATTTTTTCCCCACCATACTATAAGAGCTGCTTAGAAAGCAGTTAGAGTTACTTTATAATGCTATGTCAATACATACCTCTTTGTTCTTTGGAAATTTTTGAAATTACAACTGGAATGTTATGTTCTGCTCCTCCCTGGAAAATAATTAAGAATAATTTAAGTGATTGTTTAGTGGTTAAAAATACATTTGTAGCTAAGAAAATTAGCAATTAGTTCACAAAATCCATTTACCATGTTTTCAGTAAGCAAGTGGGGAATGAAACAACAAAAAATTGTCCTCCATATTTCATGAATAGACATTAATAAAATTACTTTTATGTAATATTGGATAGAGTCAAAATAGCATGTTAAACGGAGACTGTGCATATTTTGATACAGCAATATAAATTATTTTTCCTATAGTTGCCTGTCATTTCCTCTTAATAAATTAATTACTTATGAAGGTACATTAACTAAGTCAATTTACAGATTACTGTATTCAGTTTTGAATGAATTAACATGGATTGTTTTTTAAAAAGTGTTTCATGGTTCATCTGAATTTCATGACTAATTGCTTTAACATTTCAATTTGTGTATATGCACTGTAAAATCATATGAAAATAAAATGAATGCTTTATTATCAAAATAGCAAAAAAGAGATGCTTAACAAATTAAAAGCAAAAAATATCTGAAAGCTAATTTTTAAAAATTAAATTCTCTCACTGTACTTCTACTGGTCAGTTATAATTAGGATGTTGAAAACAAAAGCTGATCAAAACAGATAAAATTGCATAAGAGTAAAAATCAGGGTTATGAAAAACATTTGAAACATTTAATAGAGGAAGGTCAAAGTTAATCATTTACAAAATGAGATTTTTCCTGTCTTCCAGAATTTGAGAGCATGCTAAGTACTATTTTCCTCCAAAATAAAACGCCCTAAAAGCAAATCTTTCCGCTTTAATAGAAGCAATAGGACACACATCTGGCAAGGTGTTCACATCTCACTTTATTAAGCTTTATGCATGAAACTCCCTCTCATAAGCAGGAAAAAATTCCTAAAGGGCTCAGTTTCTTTTAACAAACCCCTTAAGAATTATGTATGGAATGCATTGGAAAGATTTGCCATAAGACCTTTTTCTTTGCAGAAATTCCTTCTTCAGGGTACACAGGTGCTTCACACTTCCATTAACTCAATAACTGAATTGAAATTTAGAGCATTACAAGGATAATTTATGCAATGCTGCCTAAGCATCCTGAAATCACCTCCCCAAAACATCAAGCATATGTTCAGAAGGAAATCTTGATGATGGGTTATTACTCCTTCCTGATATGCTGAAAATGGTATTTTCCAAAATAATCTGAAAGAGATTCATCACTAAAATTCACTTTCCACTCAATTCCAATAATTCATGACACTAAATGCCTGACTTTACTTTGCTGTTATTTCTTACATAAATTAAGGTAGTCATCTACTTACTCATGGGTTGTATTCTAAGTGTCCATTTGTAATTAGAGGTTTTAAATCTTAGAACCCATTTTATCTATGGAAACAATATAATAAAGTGTGATTGCATTCACAAGCCAGACTAGAAGTACAATTTTAATGCTAAATAATACAGCAGTATAGAACTATTCAGATAATTAGTCTGATACTAGGAGCTTACTAGGGTTATTAATAGTACTTTATATTGGGAGTGATGGTCAATACAGTTTCAGATAGATAAAGAGCTGAAGGAGAAGAAAAAAAGGGGAAGATATGGAAACAAGAGAGGAAAAATAAGAATAAAGAAGCTGAAGGGAGAGCGCTTCTTCCTCTTCCTTTGAATATAGGGATAGTACTGGATAAATTTTTAAAATATAGCTAGTTCCTGATTAATGTGAATAATATGAATTGGTCTCATTTGCACTGCGTATTTCCATTGGGCTGGAACCAATTACCATAACTGCATAATTATAACCTTGAATAGTGTGAATTTGAACATATTCAACCACTTCATGGGATTAGTTTTTTCGTACAAATTGCTACTGAGCTATATATTTTTTTCTGATTCCTACCTCTTTTCTTTTTTCAGTTTCTCCTCTATTTCTCAAAGCTCCCACTCCCTATGACAGTAGTGTCTTCATGTCACTCAAAGCATCTCACTGAGAGTATCCTCCTATTCCTGCCTCACCCATCATGGTACTTCATGCCCTAAAATCACCTACTTTCCCTAACCCAACCAGTCCTCATTGTAAGCTGCTAGAGTAGCTGGCCTTGGAATAAGAAGGCAGGGTAAAAACCCCACATTAATCAGCCATTTATTACTTAGTAGCCAAGTGACCCTGTGTGACCAATTTTGCTACTCTGAACCTCAGTTCTCCCATTTCTAAGATAGAAATACTATCTACTTATCTGGGTTATTATGAGAAAAACATTTTTAAAGCACTTTATAAATGTCAGTTATTGCTATCATTCCCTCAGCACAGTTTATATACACTAGCTTCTAGGAGGAAAACTGTTAGATGCAACTAATTTATACTACTCAGTGAATGACTGATCTCACACTGAAGAGACCAACAATTACATCAATGTTAGTAGACATTCTACTCCTATGTTTTTATCACTCTGCTACTGGACAGTAGTTTATAGGGCCACAAACTACTGTGTGTGTATGTGCGTGTGTTTTCTGTTTTATAAGGCAATGTTACCAAAAATCAAAAACAAATACTGATCACTCTAGTAACAATCTAGTAATTATCCTCTCAGTACTTGGATGGGCTGATCCTCAGACAAAAGGTACAAAGATCATTTGTAGGTCTGTATTTGAAGCATTTCCAGCTTTTATATGGTGTACCAGAGCTTTTCCTCTATTGAGATAGCATTTAGATGAAGTTTTGGAAAATGGCTTTAATGGAAATTATCTCTACTATGATATATATTCCTGATTTTCAAAGGCTTCCTTGCATCTTCCACCTCTGATTCTATATATTTTTCTAAGAGAAATAAGTTATAAGTTTGCGATAGATTTAAAGCTGGAAAGAACCTTAGAGGTCATTTATTCCAACCCTGTCATTTTACAAATTAGGAAACTGGGGGCTTGAAATGTTATGTGATTTGTCAAAGGTCACACACATAATAAATTGCAATGCTTGGATTTGAATACAAGTTCTGCATTTTCTATGGTACAGGAAAAGAAGGGGAGAGGGAGCAGCAGTCATCATTTACATATGTATATATCATTTATAAATTGAAGAGTATTTTTTTGTTTTGTTGTTGACTTATTTTAGGTGAATCTTATTTTTCATTGACTTCCATTAGCAAATAGCATGAAATATTTTATGTAGGTAGCCCTTTTTAGAACTTTGTTTTAACTTCCTCAAATTGTTGGCCTCTTCATACCCATCCCAGGAATCAGTCATGCTTACATAATTACCTGACATCATAAAACATGACTTTCCTCCTATATATCTATATCTATATCTATATCTATATCTATATCTATATCTATATCTATATCTATATCTATATCTATATCTATATCTATATCTATATCTATATCTATATCTATATCTATATATGACACTAGAGATTGTCCTCTACTGACACAGCCTTTAGATGAGATATTGGAGAAGGGATTTAATGGAACTTATCTCCACTATAATGGATATTCTTGATTTTCAAAGGCTTCTTTGCATCTTCTACCATCCACATATGGATGGTAGAAGATACAGGCACACAGATAGATAGATAAATAGATAGATAGATAGATAGATAGATAGATAGATAGATAGATAGACAGACAGATAGATTGATCTGTCTAAAAGCTAGACTGCTATAGCATGCTCCCAAATAGATGCTACCACATGGTACAAAATCATTATCATACTAAAAACCACCATAAGGTTAACGGTTAGGACTCTACAAAATAATAATGTCCCATTTGGTTATTTCTGTATGCTTCAAATTCCGTAAAAATTGTGAGGGAGGGCCTATATTTTCTCAAAATATTTTAGAAATAGTCTTTTCACATGAATAGTCTTGATGTTATTGTAACACAAACTATTTAATAGTAAAATTTTTCACATTTTATATATGAAATGAATACTGTATAGATTATTTTAAGAAGCATACATGTATATACATATATTTATACATATGTATGTAATATAGTTAGTGGACAGCTTTAATACATTAACCAACTTGTTTAATAAAAGGTAATGTTTTTATTTGTAGTTTCACACACAAATACCGTACTACTTATATTTGCCTGCATCTGTACCATTAATGTAATTGACCTTTTTTTTTTTTTCAATTGACATTAAGTAATTGCTAGCACTCACACCTGGCTATTTTGACTCATTTACTTGCATCATTGTATTTCACCTTGATTATATGGCACTAAATCCATTTCTTTGTGCTTGGTTATCACAACCAGCATTGCAATACAGTAACACTGTGCATTAATGATGCTATATTGAGGTACCTCTCTTTTTTTCCATTTTTTTTTTTTTTGCTAAACAGCAAGCTATGGACCTAGGATAGCACACCCATTTATCAGAAAGGATTACTTAAGGATTAGGGATGTAGTTGATCAAGTTAAATTAATAAATAGTACATTCTTATCTAAACCTCTGAATGGATTGATGGCTATTCTAAGTAATCTATGAATCTGATCATCTTAATTATTAAGAAATGTTTATTTTGAACCTCCTTTTTGCATTACATTACGAGGGAGAGAAAATAATGAATTAGGTTCTAAGTCTAAGGACTTAAAGAAGAGGCAGTTTGGTGCCTCATAGACAAAAATATATATCCAGGCAGGACATATTAGCAGAATAGTAACCTATGGAGGACAGCAAATGAAATTATAGCTGAACCTGCATATCTTCTTATACAGTACTTCACGTGGTATAATTGCCATATGATCCAGATTTTCCAGGACTGTCTTGATTTTCTGAGGCACAGAATATTAAAGCTAGAAAAGAGCTTAGAGATAATCTAGCCCAGCCCCTTTAAAATGAAGAAATTGAGGACTATCGAGCAGAAAGTTCATGTAGCTAGTTAAGAGGGGGGAAAAAAGCAAGATTCAAACCCAGGTCTTTTGACCAAAAGTTCAGTAAATGCTTTTCGCTACACTGCACTGCTTATAGAAGAAAAAAGAATGTACTTTCAGTG